TTTCTATTTATATTTCTTTTATCAACAGACAGATTCTTCATAAGTTCAATAAGTTCATTTCGACTTGATAAAAAATCTTAAGCCTGATCCATTTCGAATAAGAACGTAATAAACATAAGAGCCAAAAAGAAAGAAAAATAAAAGTTGAACATAAAGTAATATGGTACACAACTTTGTTCATTTCATATCAATATTTATATTGACCAAACATAAGTAAATTAAAAAGTAATTATTATTATTCCAGTGTTACCTTCTTATTCTTATTTTTCTTTCTTATTTGACTATACGAGGGCTGTTCAACATATAATGAGACTGTCCTCATATATTTTCATTCTATCGTGAAATATAACAAAATGTGGAATCATTATTTACGACATTAGATTAGAATATAACTTATTCTTGATCAGATTACCGGCATTGGTAGAAAAAAATATATATCGCGACATAGAAAGTGTGATCATTTCGATAACCATAGTAACGCATTATGTCTGTATTATAAAGACGGTACGTTATAATATAAAGTAATTGCGAAATAATTTTTGCAATAACGTAAAACTCCGAAAATAGTGTGTTCGTTATATCAGTGACGTCATGTAAAAATGACGTCATTTGGTCGTAAAACGTTGATGTTATCAACATTTGTTCACGGTTACCCGGACAAGTTGTCACGTTAAGATTATGACGCAAGAACGTTTTGAAGTGGGGGCGAACATGAAGTTTTGCTTGCATTTAGGCAAATCGGCGCAGGAAACATTTACAATCATGCAAGATGCTAAGGGAAAAGACTGTGTTTGTCGTACGTTAGTGTTTAGGTGGCATAAAATGTTTTCTGAAGGACACACATCCCTGAATGACGAACATAGGTCCGGCAGATAAAAGTCCATGACAGCACCAAGCGTCGCGTCAATTCAGTCAGCGCTTGATACGGATACTAGTCGTATAACGATGCGGGGGCTTGTCAAAATTGCTGATGTGAGCGTAGGAACTGCGCATCGCATACAGACGAAAGATTAAAGCATATATTCGGGAGCATATCTCGAAAAGCTATGAATGTGCTAAGACATCATAGCGACCTAAACTGCGCGAACGACGTTGCTGACGTCGCGACATATTGTTGTGCAGGGGCGATAGTTCAAACACAACTTTCTTATAAATTCTGTATCTTTAAAACTGTTTTATGGATTACTTTAATATTTACAGATTATATTCAGAAATGAATGAACTTTGTTAAAATGTATTGTATATAACCGTTGAATGTGTCAAATAAAAGATATGAAGACAGTCTCATTATATATTGAACCCTCGTATCTATTATATTTTCTGTTCATATTATTGTCTATTACATTATGTCATGTTGACAATTTTTTTTGTATTATTGCATATATATGTTTGTGAAGCAAGAAACGCCATGTTTACGTTATCAAATAAAATATTTTTAATCTTGAATCTCATAACGGTTGTGATCATGGTAACCTAGTTGAAATACGTAATTATCTGAACCCAAGTCTCGTTATCAATTTTAGAATAGAATACAGTATAATTATTTGATATCAACTAACTTCTGTGCATTTGTTCGAAATAAACTGTTTAAACTAACTTTATGCATTTTTTTCCTTTTTGTGAGTTCAAACATGCATTATTCAAGCTGTTTTAAATTTAGTCCTTATTTGATGCAGTTTCACTACAGTCAAGTATTAAATTACGTAACATTACGTTATAAATCATTTTGCATAGTTAAATATTTACTTTTAGAATAAATTTGTTTCAGATACGCCTTCAGGAACTTCAAAAGCAGGACGCCCTGGAGACGGTATGAGGAAATTAACTAGTTTCAAAAAATATAAAGATATATCAATGGAAGAACTTTTGATAAAAATAATTGATTTACATTCCGTTATACATTCTACTTTGTTAACCACAAATGAAATATCTTGCATCTTTACTTTAACCCTCAAAGGAACTCCTCTGAGGTCAAAAACGCATAAACACTTAAGATTTGAATTTCTCACATAGATCAGATGGGGCACATGAAACAGTACATTATGCAAAACGATTATTAAGAGAAAGACTCAGAAACAAATTAAATCCAATTTTCGTGCTAAAGTTAGCCCGCTTTATTTTCAATTTTGAGTAAGTTTTTTCGCAGTAAACATACAATTCAAGGAACAAAAATGAAGTAAGCGAATGACCAAAAATTTTGTAGACAAGTTTTTGGTCTAGATCTACATATAATGTGCGGATTTTTCTTAATGCAAAATTTTACGATTTCATTTATAAATGAAATTCTGCTTACGCCGGTGCTAGGAGGCGTAGACGGTAGTTTGCACTTGACAGTACCGTCCATGAACAGGCTCAATCAAACCGAGCCGCCAACATTTTCAATTTTGCCGTTTGGGCTTTCTTTATGGATTCTTATTTTCTCTATTTGATAAATTGTTTCCAGTCATGTCATGTAATACCCTTCACCAGAAGAAAATATGGTAACTATTTAAAAGCCCAAAATGTCTCGTAAATGCTTTTAACTTTATCCTAAAAAACTTTTTTTAAACTGTTGGTGTATTTTTATAGTATCCAAAAAGTTACCCATTGGTCAAGTACCTAAACCATCCTTTTTTATCTGTTGCTTTTTGGCAATAAGTAAAGTTATCGTTAATAATTATTTTGTATGGAAGTCAAAATACGACTTTGTTTACATTGTGCTACTTAAAGACAAACTATCTCACATTGATCGCTACTTTTCATGTAATAAGCATCAAACATTTCTTTGAAACTATTATTATTATTATATTTTTTCAAAGTCATCTTTGCTATTTTTTAATAGGTAAAGATCAATTGTTTCTGAGTCATAATGTGCCATTAAAACATTGTTATATATAAGATAACGCTGAAAAAATCCTCTTTCACATTGCCCTGTGCTTTTTTTGTTAATTTAAATATACATTTATTCTATTGCATATAGGTATTTGTCAAGATTTCATTTTTGATTTAATTTGATGCAGCTTCACTACAGGTCAAGTTTTATTGCGTAGCATTTCGATTGAAGACGTAATTTCAGTAACAAATTAAAATCGCAATTTATTTTCTTTTGGAACAAATCTGTTTCAGATCCATCTTCAGAAACTTCAAAAGCAGGCCAAGGAGACGGTATGAGGAGATAAATTATTTTTAAAAAGTGTTAAGATATATCAGGGGTAGAATTTGTTAAAGGTTGAGACGGATAATAATTAATCAAAGTTCGTACATACATTAAGCTTTGCTAACCACAAATTGAATGTCTTGCATCTTTACTTTAACGCTTTACATGTTAAATCTCTTAAAAGAGAAATGATCAGCCGCCATTTCTGGAATAAATCTTTTAAATTATCAATTTTTGATAATATCAAATATCATTTATGACAAATTTGAAGTTGATATGCCAACGGTATAAAGTATTGTCAGATTAAGCGGCTGTCCAAGCTGGCCTGGCTCTTAACTGGTGGCACGATCTTTTTAATTGAAATAAAATCACTGTATTAGCACATGATAAGGTCCTGCCTGTGGAAAATTATATTCGCTGTCCGTTCTATTAAGGTAAAGGTTAAGAATTAATGTGTCTGTTTGTTAGGATATTTCTAAATGTGTAGAAATATAAACTCTTATAAATTACAAAAATGAGACAAAAGAAACAAACCAGATTCTCGGTAAAATGATACAGTAGTTTCCAATTTCGATCATATCTTAATAAACACAGCTATATTATGTAAGCGATAGCAAACGTTATTTTCCGTACCTAAACTATTTCTATAAAACTTGTGTTTCTAAATCGCTCAACAAGAAGTAAATTATCCTATTTTTTGTCAATACAGTGGCGTAACTGATGACGTTCTTATGTTTCAGATTTGCACAAACGACCTCCTCCCAGTTTAGTCCCACCGCCAGGAGAATGTAAGATTATATTTTATATTTCTATAAAAATAATTATTGTCAAACTGTAATTCAGTGCTATATACAAATGTATAAATTATATCTCTGAACTTGATAGATAAAATCAGTCCTTGAAAAGTACGTCTAGACTACTAGTATATTTTGTCTTTTTTTGTAATTTTCTGATATGAAGAATTATACTTGTCTCCGGTATATCAATTTCAGCAAGATATTTGTCAAAGTTTACACTTTTTTACTTAATTAAAGTAGTTTTTTACTAATGTCAGGTTTTTTCACTGTATCATTGTGATTGCTGTCATAATAACATAATATAAAATAATTATGTTTTCAAAAATGCATGGTGCCACATGATATAGTATTATCGTGATATCATTTTTGTATAACTTCTTTTCAGCACCATCGGCAGGAACTTCAAAACCTGGACCTGAAAAAGGTATGGTAACTATTTAAAAGCCCAAAATGTCTCAGAAATGCTTTTAACTTTATTCCTATTTTTTTTTAATTTGGTGTAATTTTATACCATCCAAAAAGTTGCCCATTAGTCAAGTACCTAAACCATCCTTTTCGTCTGTTGCTTTGGGACAAAAATATAGTTATCGTTAATCATTATTTTGTATGGAAGTCAAAATACAACTTTGTTAATATTTTTCTAAGTTCATGACAAACTATTTCATATTTATTGCTCCTTTTTCATGTAATAAGCATCAAACATTTCTCTTGAAAACATATTATTATATTTTTCAAAGTCATGCTTGCCATTTTTAAATAGGTAAAGATCTATTGTTTCTGAGGCATAATGTGCCTTTAAAACATTGTAATATCCAAGATAACGCTGAGAAAATCCTGTTTCACATTAACCTTTCCTTTTTTGTAATTTTAAATATACATTTATTCTATTGCATAAAGGTATTAAATTTTGTCAAGATTTCATTTTTGTTCTAATTTGATGCAGCTTTACTACAGTCAAGTATTATTACATAGCATTTTGATTGAAGATGTTCATTTCAGTAGAAATTTTGTAAATCCTCTTAAAATCGCAATTTATTTTTCTTTTCGAATAAATCTCCTTCAGATCCATCTTCAGAAACTTCAGAAGCAGGCCCTGGAGACGGTATGAAGATATAAACTATTTTTTTTAAAAATGTAAAGATATATTAGGGGTAAAATTTGTAAGAGGTCGAGGCGGATAATAATTGATCAAGTTTCGTACATTCATCACACTTTGTTGAACCACAAATGGAATGTTTAACGTTTTACATGTTAAATTTCTGGAATAAATCTTTTAAATTATCAATATTGAAGATATCAAATATCAGATATGACAAATATGAAGTTGATAAGCCAAAAGTACATGTATAAAGGATAGTCACATTGAGCGGCTGTTTTTTTTTGTTTTTTTTTTTTTTTTGTTTTTTTTTGTTTTTTTTTTTTTTTTTTTTAAATACAATTTCTCTATTGTAAGACCTTGCTCGTGGCAAAAATATTTGCTTTCTGTTTTATCAACGTAAAGGTTCAGAATTAGTTTGTCTTTTTGTTAGGATATTTCTAAATCTCTAGAATTATAAACTCTTATAAATAACAAAAAAGAGGCAAAAGAAACAACCCGGATTCCCGGTAACATGATATATCTTAGCGCCCTTTGATAGACATACACTTTAAATTATACATGCAATATAGCAAGAACACTGTTAATACATCTGTGAATAAATATGAAATAATTTTTATATCGTGTTTCAAATACAGTATAGGTGTTATTCTGATCTAAACAACACTATTTCAGTCCCAGAAAATATTCATTGTTTCCGAACAAAGGTCACGTGCGGTAGCAACTGTACACAAAATGGAGGAAGATGTAACAGAAATGGAACTGCTTGTTGCAAAAGAAATGGTAAATAAAATCATTTGATAAAATTATTGCAATGTGCATGAAGCATAGGAATTTATCAGAATATAATTTATTCCAAACCGAAACTGTTTCAGACTTAATTTTTATGTATGACAATTGGTTTTCATTTTCTGACTATTTTTTAACTTTTATGTGATTTCTCTTAACAATTGTTTTTCTTTTACATTCAAACATTATTGGCATAAGTATTTATTATTGTACATTTTAGATTTGAATCGGATACCATCATCAGATCAGGACACTCCTCAACAGAACAGTAAAGCAATATTTTCATTTGTTATTTAAATAAAAGTGTAAAATTGACATGTATTGTGCCCGTGAAAAAATTCAGTCTTTAGATTTTAAAATGAATTCATTATGCTAGTTTTAGCAGATTAAACGGATGTTTTGTAAAATATATTTTTAATTCTTCTATTTTTATTTTTTCATTTGATGTTTGTCTGTATTTTTATGTTGAATTGCTGATGTCCGTGAAGTACGCGGGCTAACGGGCTAGCAGTCCAGCGGGCTAACAGTATGAACTGAGCGGGCTAGCAGTCTAGCGGGCTAACAGTGTGAATTGGGCGGGCTAGCAGTCTAGCGGGCTAACAGTGTGAACTGGGCGGGCTAGCAGTATAGCGGGCTATCAGTGTGAACTGGGCGGGCTGGCGGGCCAGTGGGCTAAAATCTAAAACTTTATTTATTGAACATAAAAATGTTATGATACATTACCTGGCAGTGTGAAGTGGGTGGGCTAACAGTGTAGCGGGCTAGCAGTGTGAACTGGGCGGGCTGGCGGGCCAGCGGGCTAAAATCTAAAACTTAATTGATTCAACATGAAAACGTTATGATACATTACCTGGCAGTGTGAAGTGGGCGGGCTAGCAGTGTAGCGGGGCTAGCAGTGTGAACTTGGCGGGCTGGCGGGCCAGCGGGCTAAAATCTAAAACTTTATTGATTGAACATTAAAACCTCATGATAAATTTCCTAGCAGTGTGAATTGGACGGGCTGACAGTGTAGCGGGCTAGCAGTGTGAACTGGGCGGGCTGGCGGGCCAACGGGCTAAAATCTAAAACTTTATTGATTGAACATAAAAATGTTATGATACATTACCTGGCAGTGTGAAGTGGGCGGGCTAACAGTGTAGCGGGCTAGCAGTGTGAACTTGGCGGGCTGGCGGGCCAACGGGCTAAAATCTAAAACTTTATTGATTGATCATAAAAACGTTATGATACATTACCTGGCAGTGTGAAGTGGGCGGGCTAACAGTGTAGCGGGCTAGCAGTGTGAACTGGGCGGGCTGGCGGGCCAGCGGGCTAAAATCTAAAACTTTATTGATTCAACATGAAAACGTTATGATACATTACCTGGCAGTGTGAAGTGGGCGGGCTAGCAGTGTAGCGGGCTAGCAGTGTGAACTTGGCGGGCCAGCGGGCTCAAATCTAAAACTTTATTGATTGAACATTAAAACCTCATGATACATTTCCTAGCAGTGTGAATTGGACGGGCTGACAGTGTAGCGGGCTAGCAGTGTGAACTGGGCGGGCTGGCGGGCCAACGGGCTAAAATCTAAAACTTTATTGATTGAACATAAAAATGTTATGATACATTACCTGGCAGTGTGAAGTGGGCGGGCTATCAGTGTAGCGGGCTAGCAGTGTGAACTTGGCGGGCTGGCGGGCCAGCGGGCTAAAATCTAAAACTTTATTGATTGAACATAAAAATGTTATGATACATTACCTGGCAGTGTGAAGTGGGCGGGCTAACAGTGTAGCGGGCTAGCAGTGTGAACTGGGCGGGCTGGCGGGCCAACGGGCTAAAATCTAAAACTTTATTGATTGAACATGAAAACGTTATGATACATTACCTGGCAGTGTGAAGTGGGCGGGCTAGCAGTGTAGCGGGTTAGCAGTGTGAACTTGGCGGGATGGCGGGCCAGCGGTCTAAAATCTAAAACTTTATTGATTGAACATTAAAACCTCATGATACATTTCCTAGCAGTGTGAATTGGACGGGCTGACAGTGTAGCGGGCTAGCAGTGTGAACTGGGCGGGCTGGCGGGCCAACGGGCTAAAATCTAAAACTTTATTGATTGATCATAAAAACGTTATGATACATTACCTGGCAGTGTGAAGTGGGCGGGCTAACAGTGTAGCGGACTAGCAGTGTGAACTGGGCGGGCTGGCGGGCCAGCGGGCTAAACTTTAATACTTAATTGTATCAACATGAAAACCTCACTATATATATTTCTTAGAAGTGTGACAATATGAAAACCTCATGATACATTTCTAAGAAGTGTGAAGTGGGAGGGCTGGCGTGTTCATGATTCATTAACTGAGGTTTGCGTTTTTTCATCATGGCAAAGAAACAGGCACAGTTATGGACTTACAAAGGGATTAAAACAAAAACCTTTGTACTCGAGCCAACTTGTGGCGAACTGGTTAATATACCGGACTCTCAGTGCAGGGGCAGAGATTGTTCTGGGGTCACTCCTGTCAAATATTCCGTATTAAATTTAAACCATGGTCTCAACCAACCAGGGATGGTTATGGAACTGGCATCTTTTGTTTTTATAGCAAAATCTAGACATTTTTAAAACTCCTAATCCCGGCAGGCTGAAACAAACTACAGACATTAACACTTAATTTAAGTGCTTTGACCGAGTATACTCAGCCTTTGCGAACATCGTAGATCCACATCAGTCGGTGCGCATTCGCGCCGTCTGCCAAGAATCTACACTGTTTACTGCCCAACCACTGAGTATGATTCTAGTGTCCAAGCACCGAACATTGTGGAACCTGATCAACCGGCTCTTGTTGGCGCCTATTGATATAACTCAAAAACGAGAACGGTGACCCCAAATTCTTTTTTGCTTAAAATGTTTCTGTTATCATATTTTAACAACATGCTAAGTTTAAAGAAATTCTATTGAACAGTTTTAATTTTGCCTATATGCCTATATGAAAACTCCCGAAAACGTCATTAAGGGTTAAAAATAAAATATCAACCATAAGAGTTTTTGTCGTCTTTTTATTAATAAAAAGTTTCTGCGCCGATGGCAACAGTTGCTTCTCTGTGATCAAAATTCTGATTTTCATTTTTTCAATACGGGCGTTGACAAGAAAATACAAGAAAATGCGAGTTTGTTATCGTATTATATTTTCAATTTGACAGAACTTATGCTGCGCTTCGCGTGGCTTGCAATAAGTTCCATAAAATTAAAAAAATAAACAATAACCTATACTTATAACAATCTCAAATATTATGCAAAAGTTATTTTTCAAAAAATATTAAGAAATGTCAAGGAACAGTATATATATATACTATAAAGGTTAATAAACCTTTCGAAAATTTCGAAATTTTTCACGAGCTTATGCATTCTTACTGACAACATGCAACATAAAAATATTTCTGAATACATACACAAGCCAACAAAGTTGATGTATAATACATTAGTTCAAACGAATGAACAACAAACATGAAAATCAATACATGATAAAACGTTAGATAATTTTCAAAAATATAAAAATGAATTATCAGTTTAATGGATATCTGTAGAAACATTGTGTTTATAATGTAATAAAAGCTAATTAACTATAACAATTAGGTCATTATTAATTTTTGTTCAATATTACTTATACAATTATACGAACAACAAATAAGACAGACAGAAATCACTTTATTTCATATTTGTACTAAATACGACCACGGATTTATATATATATATAAATCCGTGATACAACATAATAATTATATGTTGTTAAAATGTACATTACATATATGTACATGTATATATTTTAACCTATGATGCATAGCTTTATACATACTTGAAAAAAATTATGATTTTTCATACATCATATTTTGACTACATTTTTAAAATTTTAACCAATATATAACACATAGAAGAAAATTCATTAAGGTACTAAAATAAAATATTATATCAACAGAAATTGAGAAATATATCAATTGAAATTTTTATAATAAATATTTATCATTTGTAATATTGTCATCTTGAAAAACATCTTATCAAGTATTTCTCGACCTCGCCTATAATATCACCAACGGCAATTTGACACCTTCATTGTTTTCCCTTCTTTATCTAACTGGTCAGCAGTTTTCGATAATCCTTGTCAGCAGTTTCCTATACATTCTATATCGTCAGCTAATTCGTCAGCAGTTTAGTATCGCCCACGGTCTCCGGTGCCTAACGGTCACTGACAAAAACACGTCGAGTGTGGATACACCCTTTGGTTTCCCTACCCACCACAGCTCACCTCCTGATATTGTAAATTAACAAATGTACTATATAAACGAATAGTCATAGACTGGTGATATATATTCAATCTGTTTAAAAGTAATAACATAATCCAATTTTTCTGCTTTGAACGGACAAAGAAATAGAGAGAACTCTAGATAACTTCTCGTTGTCATGGCAACACCACATATCAAAATTTTGTTTTAGTTTTGTTCATGGACAGTAGTGAAATGATAGTTGTTGGTTTATCCGAACATAATTATGAAATAAAAATGTGACAAATATACCGACAATGAAATATCTCAATCAACATATGCTATCATTGATTCCCAGTTTTGCGGCATTTTCCGCAATTTCTGAATCTATATCACTATGATATAATCTGCCGTAAATCAGAAGGCCTAATGGTTGAGGATAAGATCCTAAAATTGTGGGATTTTTTTACGAAATGCAACTCATTCCAAAAATGCAAACATCATTTTTGATCATCTGGACGGATAGTTAACCTCTCCTCCATTTTGTACGATTCAGACCCCAGGTGCCATTTCGGACAACTTTCAGGCTCAGGCGGACACCAGTTCTTGGTAAAACCACCCACATTCCGCAAGCTAGTTGGTTAACGTCCTTACATGAAAATACATGTAATCACTATGGTAGCCTCGAACTCAGAGCTGCAATAAGACATAGTGAGGAAACTCTGATGGTACATCTGTCGGTATAAGTATGCCGTCGCTTTGTGGTTTTTCACAATTTGACATTCGTAATATAGTGCAGGAAGTACAGAAGATGGCCCATTTCAGAAACATACCTGGACCTTTTATGTGTCAGGTGTAATGCACCGATACACGGGACCTCGCTTTAAAGTCCCATCCGAAAGACTGTTGGTAATGTTAGGGAGGAGCGGGGGTCGAACTCAAACCCCTTGATTATATATACAAATGTATGTATTTAACCACCAGACCACAGATCCGCTCCTAAATAAATCGCCAGATTCCTAGATGTCCTTATGTTTCCGGACAAGCTTCTGTCATTGCACGAAGTATACACATATGTATGTACCTCTGGTGCATCTTCTGCTTCACTACATGAGGTTCTACATTTGACTGCCCTACTACTAAAATCTTATGTTGCAGTGTTTTTTTTCTGTTTCAGTTAAGATCGTTTTTTCTGTATACCATGCATCACTTAAATATCAATACGGATTTAAAACCATTTAGTGTACTCTCAAGGATCGTGTATACTATATGAAACAATCATTGTTAGCCCGCCGAGTTCACACTGCTAACAAATGCATCATAACGTTTTAGTGTTAAAATAATTAAGTATGGAATTTAGACCACTAGACTGCTAGCACATTACACTGTTAGCTCACCGAGCTTATACAGCTCGGAAATGTATAGTAAGGTTTTTATGTTGATTCAATTAAGTTTTAAAAAGTTAAGCCCGCTGGCCCGCCAGCCCGCCCAGTTCACACTGCTAGCCCCGCCACACTGTTAGCCACGCCCACTTCACACTGCCAGGTAATGTATCATGAGGTTTTAATGTTGAATCAATAAAGTTTTAGATTTTAGCCCGTTGGCCCGCCAGCCCGCCCAGTTCACACTGCTAGCCCGCTACACTGTCAGCCCGTCCAATTCAAACAGCTTAGGAAATGTATCATGAGGTTTTAATGTTGAATCAATAAAGTTTTAGAATTTTAGCCCGCTGGCCCGCCAGCCCGCGCAGTTCACACTGTTAGCCCGCTACACTGTTAGCCCGTCAAGTTCACACTGCTAGCCCGCTACACTGTCAGCCCGTCCAATTCACACTGCTAGGAAATGTATCATGAGGTTTTAATGTTCAATCAATAAAAATTTTAGATTTTAGCCCGCTGGCCCGCAAGCCCGCCCAGTTCACACTGCTAGCCCGCTACACTGTTAGCCCGCCCACTTCACACTGCCAGGTAATGTATCATAACATTTTTATGTTCAATAAATAAAGTTTTATATTTTAGCCCGTTGGCCCGCCAGCCCGCCCAGTTCACACTGCTAGCCGACGCTACAAACTGTCAGCCGTCCAATTCACACTGCTAGGAAATGTATCATGAGGTTTTTATGTTGATTCAATAAAGTTTTAGAGTTTAGCCCGCTGGCCCGCCAGCCCGCCAAGTTCACACTGCTAGCCCGCTACAGGCTGTTAGCCCGCCCACTTCACACTGCCAGGTAATGTATCATAACGTTTTTCATGTTGAATCAATAAAGTTATAGATTTTAGCCCGCTGGCCCGCCCAGCCCGCCCAGTTTCACACTGCTAGCCCGCTACACTGTTAGCCCGCCCACTTCACACTGTCAGGTAATGTATCATAACATTTTTATGTTCAATAAATAAAGTTTTAGATTTTAGCCCGCTGGCCCGCGAGCCCGCCCAGTTCACACTGTTAGCCCGCTATACTGCTAGCCCGCCCAGTTCACACTGTTAACCCGCTAGACTGCTAGCCCGTTAGCCCGCGTACTTCACGGACATGAATTGCTGATATATGTATGTACATTACCTATAACCATGTTCACCAGAAGAAGATAGGGGTAAGATACATTAATGAGCCGCGTCATGACAAAACCAACATAATGGGTTTGCGACCAGCATGGATTCAGACCAGCCTGCGCATCCGCGCAGTCTGATCAGGATCAATGATGTTCGTTGACAAACCCTATTACAAGTAGAAATACTGATAGCGATCAGCATAGATCCTGATCAGACTGCGCGGATGCGCAAGCTGGTCTGGATCTATGTTGGCCGCAAGTTTTGTCATGGCGCAGCCTTTTTAATATTCGAACCAAGATTTGAAAACATATAAAAATGAATCATTTACTTCTAAAACTTATTATACCATATGTTTGTATCAACATAAATTACCTGCATGAAAATGCATGAAAGCCTTTCATAAATGAATTCAATGATTTTTGAGGAGGTGTTACCGGTGTTACCGGTATTCTGTAAAGTACAAAATAAACTATTTTTGCTTGAATAGTTTTCGTATTTCTTAATTTCTTTTTCTAAATAAGTATTTTTTTTTCTTTTTGTAAGATGCTTTAATTGCTTTTGTTGAATTGCCGTATACATTCGACATGCTAAATTGCAATGTTTAAAAATTGTGTGAATGTGTTTAATTATTATTATTATTATTTTCATTATCATCATCATCATTGTTGTTGTTGTTTTTAACATTGCACGTGTCTTCCGTATTTATCATATGATGCTACACTAAATGTAAACGGTTAGAAAGAAAATTATTCCATAATTTATATTTTCCGTATAGCAAATTTCCAAGGTGATGTAACAAAGCCGTAGTATAATATCATTAAATCGATAAGGAAAATTAAGTCAGAATGTCTAAGCTCACAAGTATTACATTTCTACTCTATGAATTACATTTTTCTCATTTTATACAGTTTGTAATACCGGTATTAAGGAAATAGATTAAATCAAGTTGGTTTTGTAGTGATGTTACTAGTTATTGATGGCTGTGACTAAAAAAAGGATTGGAGCACCACACTAAATACCGTATTCCGGTATATACCCGACAAGGCGCTTGAATGATAAAATGCTGAAATCTTGTCTTTTTACCCAACGGAATGAACTTTAACAGGTCTAATTCATCTTTTGACACCGAATCAAGCACGATAATCAAGGAAAAATGTAAAATTCGGCGAAAAAAACGATATTTGTCTATTTTGTGATCATGATTTCTGCAAGCGTCTACAGGTACTGCTCCAATCCTGTATTGAGCTAAATCCGTTATTGATTACCTCCGTCTACTTAATTAAAACTTCAGAATTCTTTTACTTCCCAATCGTTGATACCACGTTCCCGCTCATTCTACATGCAATATATTAAGACCACTGTTAATACTTCTGTAAATAAATATAAGAATAGTTCTGATGATGCGTTTTCAAGACAGTACAGGATTTATTCTGATTTGAACAACACTATTTCAGTTCCAGAAAATATTCATTGTTTCCGAACAAAGGTCACATGCGGTAGCAACTGTACACAAAATGGAGGAAAATGTATGAGAAATGGAACTGATTGTTGCAAAAGAAAAGGTAAATAAAATCATTTGATAAAATTATTGCAATGATGAAGCATAGGAATTTATCAGAATATAATTTAGTTTAAACCGAAACTGTTTCAGGCTTAATGTTTATGTATGACAATTGGTATTAATAGAATTATAGAATTATGTGATTCTGTCATATTAAGTTCGATTCTTTTCAAAAAGCTAATATGTAACTTCAATAAAGGCTGAGCATGAATATTGTCCAAAATACATCGTCAAGTTACATGTTTTTTTTTTGAAATCGTATTAATTAACTTTTTAATATAATTTCAATTATGTAACAGATATCAGTGTATTTCTTAAATGGTGTACATGTAATAGATGATGCGAGATTTTGCAAAAGCCACAATTGTTGTTGAATGTATTGCCGAATTTGTCTTATATGTGCAAAGTTCACGGGCATTTGCAAGTAATATTTATTTGTTAAATCATTTTGTTTTTGTCTCGCTACAAACAATGTTCAGTTCAAGAGGAAATGCGCTGTGTACCAACAAAAGGTACATGTGGAAGCACCTGTACACAAAATGGCGGTAGATGTGTGAGAAATGGAACTGCTTGCTGTCACAAGAAAGGTTAATAAAGTTGTTTGTGTTTAATAAAATTGTTTGAAAACATGATTATGCCCACTTCAAAGAAGTGTGGGAATATTGATTTGCATTTGTCTGTCGGTCGGTCCGTCCGTCCGTCAGTCCGTAGACCAAATGGTTTCCGAGCAATAACTAAAGAACGCTTAAACCTAGGAACTTCAAAGTTTGTATGACACTTGGTACTTGTGCATGACCAGCAGATGACCCTATTGATTTTTGGGTCAAGGGGTCAAAGGCCAAAGTCAAATTGGCCTTGAAGGTAAAAGAACGGTCTCCGATCAATAATTTGAACCCCACTTTGGGTCAAAACCCCTTTAAAACGGGCTTTAGTTGCATTGGTTTGGGCCAAAGTAGATTGATCCCTATTGTTTTTGGGGGGAAAGGGGTTAAAGGTAAGGTTCACATTGACCTTGTAGGTAAAAACGGTATCCGACTAATAACTTAACAAGTCATGGGCCCTTGTAGGTGCATTGGTCTTGGCAAGTAGATGACCATAGTTGATTTTGAAGTCAAGGGGACAAAGGTCAAGGTTATATTGTCATTGTAGGTTAAAACGGTTTCAAATCAAAAACTTAACAACCCATGGGCTGTTTGCCCTCGAAGTTCGTAGGTGCATTGGTCTTGGAAAATAAATGACCGCAATTGATTTAAGGGCTAAACATGTAAACAAATAGTAATAATAATGCTTGGAGTAAATGCATGACTACACTTATTCCAATATATCGTGTAAAAGTCCACCTCAATTTAGTTAAGTTTTAGATATAAAAGTAAGTAGTACAATATTTATATACGTATTATTATGTTTGTAGAAACGGAAAGTTCATAATGTCTATCCGTTGACAATACATCCGGTTTGGTTATAATAAATAGTACATGATCAGTTGGTATTCGTATATTGATTATAATCGTTCGACATATTTTCAAACATCATTTTGCCGAAAAAGACTAGTATATTGTTTTTTAGATGTCAATTATATATTCATTATACATTATCAAAGATAACACTCTCTGATTATGTTTACATCTTAAACCACGTGGTAGAACTACTTTCAATCGAGGTTTTTATTAGTTTATAGCCGACTTGTTCCGATTGCGAATTCAACAAATGTTGTGACCCTGCTAGAACGTATTATCGTATTTATCTAACTTGTGTAATGTCCATGTGTACACGGATGTTATATGAGCCGCGTCACGACAAAATCAACATAGTGCGTTTGCGACCAGCATGGATCCAGACTAACCTGCGCATCCGCGCAGTCTGATCAGGATCCATGCTGTTCGCTTTCACTTTCTCTACTTGCTATAGGGCTTTTAAGCGAACAGCATGGATCCTGATCAGACTGCACGGATGCGCAGGCTGGTCTGGAGCCATGCTGGTCGCAAACGCACTATGTTGGTTTTGTCGTGACGCGGCTCATATCTTTGTGCTTTTATCTTGCTGCAAAACTGTCAGTGCAAACGGAAAGACTTTGTTTTCCAACAAAGGGTGCTTGTGGTACCCACTGTAAACCCCCCAAAGACGGTTTTATGTTTTGATTTTTGAAGCTTAATGAATGAAAATTATTTCATTTAAAAAATTTTTTCAATGCATTAAAGTTTGTTTAAATAAATTTATCTTTAAAATTTATTTAAAAAAGTCTGGAAGGGAAAAGGAATTTTACTCTGGGCCCGGTTTTCTGAAAACTTTGTCCCTTTTTTTTAAAAAATTAATTTTTAAAAATTTAGGGGAACCCCATTTTGTTATTTTAAAATCAAAATATTTTAAACTCGGGGCCCTTAAAAGGGGAAAAAAATAATGGAATATTTAAAAGAGAATTTGAAAAAACAAAATGGAATTTTTAAATGAAAATAGATTTAAAAAAATAATGGAAACCTAAATGGGATAGGGGTAAAAGAAAGGGAAAAAAAAAACACATCCCCCAATCGGAAACCCAAAAAGTTCAGGGTCTACCAATTCTGTTATATAGATTTTACTTCGACCGTATTTATGTTTCGCCTTCTTTATAAAACGGATTTGCCGAGAAAGCTAGTTTTAGCCATGCAATCAAACAGGTTTTGGCATAGGCATTAGAAAAAGTATCAAAATACCTTTATCCGTGGAAGTTAAACAAATTGTTGATTTTTGTAAGAAAGAAAACTGATTGAATAATTTTTTAACAAATAAAGTCATTTTTTTAATTGGCAAGATTGTTTTTTACCAGTTTACCTGTCGGCTATATGGACAACAGCAAGTTTGTTCTCGAAATCGTGACAATTTCCTATTCATTATTGGTTTTCTCAGGGTTAAAATTAGAAACCGCATCCTTTTCAAAAATTATGAAAGCTCGCCGATTATTGGCTATGTGAAAGATCACTAGAAATGACTTCGTAATTGGTCACTGTTAGATCTAAAAGCGGAGCGTTATCTAAAGCCAATTTTAATCAGTTTGCTTACATTTAATACATTGACTAACAAATGAATGTGAAAAGAACTATAGAATAGTTTTGCTTACAGATGAGGACGACAAGAATAACCTTGTTAGAGATGGCGGTGCAGCAGAAACTGGTGCGGAGAATATTGCAGATAATGCTAACGCTACCATCGTGGATGAGGGTTATTTGTTTTACAACGGTATGTATATCCTACTATGTAGCAACACACAATCATAAATTATCTATAAAATGTAATTAAAAATACACATCTTTAAAAAAACGTAATGAACCATTTTTCTTTATTTTCCATTCTTATTTTTTTTTTGGACAATCATTGCGTCTTTCAGGAATGACTCTCAGATGTACCAAGGCAAAATGTACTAAGAAATGTACAGAGAGTAGGGGCGGGTTTTGTATGGAAGGGAAATGTTGCTACAAGAAAACAGAAAATGAAGGTATTTGTACACAAAAGATAATATTACATACCCCCACCCCTCCCCCCCCCCCCAAAAAAAAGGGGGGGGGGAAATCAGTTTTGATAGGCAGAATTGTTAATCATCGACAAACAAACTTTAAAACAAGCATTACAATTAATTGCATTGAAAATTGCATTGCGCAAATTGCGACAATATTGTGCATTCAAAAATTACAATCAATTGCATTGGAAATTGCATTGCACAAATTGCGACAATAGTGTGCATTCCTGAATATGCATTTGCATGATATGTTTGCATGAATGTAAATCAACATTTTATAGAGCGACTTGCACTTTTTTAACGTCAGTTATGATAGTTACTTTTTCTCGAGGGCAACAAATATACAAAAATAACCTCATTCATTTCAAACCCATTACGCTTCAAAGCTAAACATTTTCTATAATTTTTATTTTATGTGTTATCTTTAAGTTTTCAAATATAGTTACTTATTGGTCATATAACTGAATTTTCTTCAGCTTCTTTTGCATTTGTGCAGTAAGTACAGTTATAATGATATTAATAGTAATATTCATGGAAACCAAAGTACATCGTTGTTTACATTTGAGCCGCGCCATGACAAAACCAACATAGTGCGTTTGCGACCAGCATGCATCCACACCAGTCTGCATAATCCATAATGTTCGATATCAGTTTCTGTAATTGTAATAGGGTTGGTAAGCGAACAGCATGGATCCGCACAGTCTGATGAGGATCCATGCTGTTCGCTTACCAACCCTATTACAATTACAGAAACTGATATCGAACATTATGGATCCTGATGTTGGTTTTTTCGTGACGCGGCTCATTTGTACATTTGCCAGAAGTTAATTCACATTCAGAGCTATTTCCTGTAGATAATAAGCATCTTATATGTTCTAAATTCATTATATTAACAGCATTGTTAATTAGGTGTTGAAGAAAAAGTCATTTATATATGAGAACTAAAGGCACATTGTGCCTGAGAAGTTTATATTTTCTAATTCTTCTGAAATGTTGAACATGTGTTTGATGATGTCTCAAGAAAGTTACATGTTTAAATACTGAAGGAAGTAACGCAGAACGTGCAGTAATGTGTCATAAAGGTAGATAAATTTAAAAACAGTAGTATTTTGACTTCCATGCAAAATACTAATTCACTATAATTATACCAATTGCCGAGAGAGCGAAAGCAGAAAAAAATATAGTTATGGAAAATATAGTATAATTTTGGAAACTGTAACAAAATACAAAAAAAATCAAAAGATTTGGAAAAATAAAATTGATAGCATTTCTGAGATATAATGGGCCTTTGTATGCCTCACATGGTATGATCACATGGTTCGTTTTCTTTTTTTCTGTGTGAAGCCCAATCACAATGCGCAACAGAGAAGAAACATGTTTTGAAAGGAAGACCAATAGTTGTAAGTATGTTTTCTGACTTAAAAATAAAAGCATAATTTTGCAAATGTAATTGTAATTATGTAAATAACACGCATACTGATAAGTAAATGAAAAAAAAATTCAAATCTGAGAAAATATATTCAGAATTAAAAGTAAATAAATATTTGAAATTCATGAGGTCATTGCAATTTTTAAGGATATATGTGTTAGCATTTTCTTACTACCTCATTACCAATGCAGTAACTGCTCGATTTTAATTGTTAGTACTTATCTATTTTGGTTGGTATTTGTTGGAAACTTTTAAGTTTATTACACTCTTATTGAAACCGTTCCTGGAACCAACCAGTACTAAGCAATAACAACAACGGCTAGCCCCTGAAGCGGTTTAAACTCATGCTCCTAGCAATTCTGATTACCAGTTCGATGCGTTATCCACTCGGCCACGCCCTCCAGTTTGCATTGTTGACACATTTTGTACTTGTATTGATTAACAAACTAGCAGCTCAAATTATTTTGGTACTCTTGTCAATATAATCAGTGTTATAATGAATCGTCTTGAATAATGATGGAAATAAGCATGAACCTTGGTGTATGCTGCTTCTATGCTTCAATTTCATTATGACACGAAGTAATACAAGTTAACCTCTGGAGAGCGGTCATCTGTAAAGCAGTTACCTCCCTTCTATAATAGTCACATTATTTATCACTTGATTTGCAGTGGAAAGTGAAATTATACTTGATAATTTTCACTGAAGCCGGACTTTATTTGAATGCGGATGAAAATAATATTTCATATCTAAATAGAATTATCAATAGGAATAAATTTCGTCGTATGTATATTTTGCTTCTTTAGGAGAAGCAAGACTTAGTAAATAACTGCATACATTGTGTTAGATATGTAACAAAATTCGAGAAATTTTACAGAACTAAATTTTAATATTGGTACGGCGACGTCATGATGTGATGACCTAAAATCACTAAAGAAGCATGAAATAGATAGAAAATGTGTTTGTTTAGCTTGTAAGATTGAAATATATTTTACGCGTTAACACCAGCTAATATATTTTCACTAGTGGCACGAGTGAAAATACTGCATCTGGTGTAAATATATTTCGATTCTACATGCAAAACAAACAAACCTCTTCTATTTATTTTCACAAAGTTAGATTTCCCCACAATTTCAACCTCTCTAGAGCAACATCTCTCAACAACAACAACAACTACAACAACAACTAGAACAACAACAACTACTACAACAACAACTAGAACAACAACAACAACAGCAGCAACAACAACCATCATTTATCTTTGCCTTCCAAATGATGTTGTTTGCACAAGTTGTACTGTAGATTAAAAGATTGCATAATAAGCCAGCTCGAACTGCATGCCTCTTTAAATCTGATACATTGTTATATAACTTAAAGGTAATTTACTGCCAAATTTACAGTAATCAATTATATGTTAGGAAAAGACCGCTATAAGCATTGTATACTTTCGGATCTAATCCTTTTTCAGCATTGTATATTATGTAACTATTGATTGTATGTAATATATGTTTGTGTGAAAATGTTTGAAATAAAATATGTTTAAACTAACTTAAAGGCCGGACAAAACACTGATGATGAACATCTTCATTGCACTGTCGGCGGGTCATACTTGGCTCGATGCAAGGGACAAGCATGTCACTGTCTGAACGCAGGCTCTGGTGAAAGAATTGGGAAACCAAAAAAGGTTACATCCATGGACAAGATTAATTGTGGTAATTTAAATGCATTAGAATTTCACATCAATATTTTGTTAATATTTTTATAAACAAAATCATTAAATAAGTTATGAAAGTTTATTTATTTATTTATTTTGTTTATTTATTTTTTATTTATTTATTTATTTATTTTGTTTATTTATTTATTTGATTTATTTATTTATATATTTATTTATTTATTTATTTATTTATTTTATTTATTTTATTTATTTATTTATTTATTTATTTTGTTTATTTATTTATTTATTTATTTTATTTATTTATTTATTTATTTATTTATTTATTTATTTATTTTGTTTCCTTTCCCCAATAATTCATGTATCAACATAAATTATGTTCGGAATACAAACAAATGTTTGTATTTTTGTTGTTCTTTTTTTCTTCTCTTTTGTTCATATCAAAATATGTATGCATATTTTTACATGATGAAATCCTATTCCAGACAAAGAACAGAACAAGACAAAACCTAAACGTATCAGAATAATAGTCAAATTGTCTGATAATCCATTGAGTGCCTACGGTCAGCCTGAAAAGGATGCCATGAAGAGGTGATGCTAATTTTTGTTATTTATAATTTCTGAACGCATACTTGTTATGACATTAAAGATATTTACAATAAAAATTATTTCAAAATAAGCTTCTTATTATAAGTGCAATGCTAATATCTATATATTCTCATAATATTTTTCCATTGGCTTATTTCCACCATTTGTTGTTTCATTTCTGAACCAAATAAGCCGCACCATGACAAAACCAACATAATGCGCATGCGACCAGCATGGATCCAGACCAGCATGTGTATCCATACAGTCTGATCAGGATCCATGCTGTTCGCTAGATCAGTTTCTCTACTTGTTATAAGGTTTGTAAGCGAACAGCATGGATCATGATCAGATTGCGCGGATGCACAGGCTGGTCTGGATCCATGCTGGTCGCAAACGCACTTTGTTGGTTTTGTCGTGACGCGGCTCATATTATGCTATTAATACCCCTCAAACGTCACTTTGAATGTCCATTGATTATTGAGGTATAAACACATCTGCAGAGGTTTATAATTTTTAATTTAAACTCAATTTTCATATCTAGATGTTTATTGATTTAAGTCTAAGTCGGTAAAAGATGCAGGTACCATTTTCTTCTGCCGGTGATAGGCACTACAAAATATATTGTTTTGAATTTCTCTGTTATCTATAGATTTTGACTGTTGGCCTTTGTAAATATGCATTTTGGTATTGAAATAATTTCAAAGTCGGGACGATTTGAAAGGCAATTTTGATTTGTATATAAATAAACAGTGCGGGATCCCTTTTAAATCGTTTTTTTTTGTTTATTAATGCTATTACCAAATTTAATGTGTTTTAAAATCGGCCTTAGGTTTATCGCATTGCAAAGGTAGAGCTCTCTGAAGTCAATGTATTTGAGAAAATCGGCACTTTAGAAATACCATTAAAATCATCTTTGGGCAATAATTTATTGCGTTACTGGCTGTACATAAAAAACATGCGTTCCCATAGTTTCCTGCAGTGATTCTGTAAATTTTGAAAACTAAAGCAAAACTTCACGAATTAAAACACTATTATCCTCAGCCTGGAGTACTTTATAATACGCTATATATATATTTATTGCATATGTAACTATAATTAGTAACAAAAATGCGTTTCTTTTTTTTGAATATGCCATGCGAATATCCCGTATTTGAGCAAGTGTGCCAATATGCCATATTGGCGCACTTGCCAAGTGTGCCAAATCCCATATTGAGGCTATTTCCGGTCATCACGCACCTGTTGTCCAGTAACGGCAGAACGTCAGCGCGTATATACACGTTACGTAATTGACAACCGCATTGCAAAAAAAAAATGGCCGTAGAAAGGACGTTGCAATCTTTGGCGAATCGCTTGATGGATTTTATTTTTAGATAATATAATCGAACAACAAGGGCAGCCAGCTGACACTTTTGCTTTTGTTGAAAGTATGAAAAACGATAATACAAAAAAGAAAACCAAAAGTGATATGAACAGACTGAATACTTGGTTTCAAACTGAAGGAGAAGAACGAGATATTTTAGAAATTCCTACCACTGAGCTAAATATGTTGCTTGCAAGGTTTTTTATGAACTTGAGAAAGGTAGATGGCTCCGAGTACGAGCCAGACAGTATGGGGAGCATTCTCGCCAGTGTCAACAGATATCTAAAGGACAACGACTACGGAACAAACATCATGACCAGTGATACGTTTAAGCACACCCGTGATGTGGTTGCGACTAAAAGGAAAATATCCAAATCCCACGGAAAAGGCAACAAGAAAAATCGTGCAGATCCATTCACTGGTGAAGAGATCGCAATTTTGAAGCAAAAGGGGCTTCTTGGCAATGGTAAGTAAAGGTCCATAAGTTAAATAGGCTATGTCTTAACATGCATCATTCTGAAAATGGCCCGTGTCATCTTTATAAAATCAGATCTAATAGCTCTTAGCCTACTAGCTAAAGATACTTCAGCGAAGAGGTTTTATAGTTTTGCTAGACCTGTTCGCTGAAGCCAACCCCGTATCGAAAGTCAACCAGACCCGTGACATTTTTATGTCATGCTGTAATTCAATAAATTTGCGTGATCTGGACAAAAACTATTTTAATACAGGTAGTTAGATATATTTGGGACCCTTCAGTCTATATTTTTGAACACAAAATGTTAGATTAATGAAATATTGCCTCAAAGTTTATCAGCGGGTTCACATTTCATAAAACTCGCCGCCATTGCTGCCCTAATTATCACGTGACCAGCGAGAATTTAGGTTCGGATACCTTTGCATGACATTTGGTGACACGTGACCCAAATGCTATTTTTAATTGAAAACATGGCTTTGCAATTATGAATAACGGTGTATTTATTCAATAACAGACATTGTACCAAAAACATGTTGGATTTATATTGTTTTGAGTGATGATTCATGAATTATTTGTTTGTTTTTATATAAAATCATACACTTACTAAAAATAGTGTATGGTCCGTTACTAAAAATAGATGTTAGAATTTCCAAAACATGAAGTCCCGCGAGATCTCATTTGAAAGCAGACTCCATATTGGTAAACATCCTCTACATATTTCTCTAAAAATAGTTGGGTACACAATGTCATTGAAGTTACATTTAAAAACAAAACTTGAATTGGTTCAAAATTGATTTGTTTATCAATTGATATTTTTATTTGACCCAAATTTGATTAAAAAGGGTGATTTTAGTAGGCTTTTATGTCCGGCGCACAAACTGTCAAATTCTGGTAGCCTTTGCAAATAGGATTGACCCATAACTTTACTGTCGCAACGTCAAAATAAAAGCGACATATAAAGTTATGGAAGCCAGAACTATTACTATTAGCCTACATGTTATATTTCTAATGTTCATAGAATGACATATCTGCAGTAGATCTAGATCCAGCTGTTATTCTAGTAACACTGTTTATAAATAAACTATCTACCTGGTCAATGATGAACAATCTGATGAAATCCACAACCACTAAATATCCTACATTATGATTAACACACAATAAAATCAATAAAATGTCTTGTTTACATTAATAGCCGTTCATGTACACTATACATAGACTACCACAGTAAAAGTGACGTCATGAAAACTGTGACGTATCGTTTGAATGTCAATCAATACAACTGTCAATCAGTCATAATTATCAATTTATTGTTGTCAGCATTGGCTATTCTAGAAATTCGTAAAAACCAGCATAAGTTCTTTCGATCTCAATATGAATAATGGCAGATATACAATAGCAGGGTAACTAATTTACTGCCTTCTATCGCATAATACTGTTATAAGATTTATCTTTATTTTTATCAACTTACAGAAACGCCTGAAGCTTTGTCTAACACTATCTGGCTGAACAACATTCTTCACTTTGGTTTACGTGGAAGACAGGAGCATCAAACAATGTTGTGGGGAGATGTAGAGCTACTTACAACTGCATCAGGGAGAGAATACTTAGCTTTTACAGAGAGACTGACTAAAACAAGAAACGGCATCGCTAGTGACCCAAGGGATTTTGTGCCCAAAATGTTCGCACAACCAGGTTTGTGAGTTTATTATGTATAAACCGATGAAATTGGTGTTTTACTTATACATTGTATATCGTATAAATGATATCAAAATCGTAAAAATCGGAATCTATATTAACAATCTTCTAAATAGACAGGACATACACAGCTCATGTTAAAACTTGAAAACAACTCAAAACAAATCAAATTTAATCTAAAATTTCGCAAACATTTTAACTATGAAAAAACTGTGTTTTATATTGATGGTATTGACTTAACTATCTTTGAATGTGCTTTGTAGGAGACAAGGACTGTCCAGTAGAAATGTACAAACGATATGCAGAAAAGCGCCCAGACAAGATGAAGACCCCTGACTCTAGGTTTTATGTTGGGTTGAATCCTAACTACAAGCCAGGAAGTGACATAAGCTGGTTCATGAATTCGGCGATGGGCAAAAACAAGTTAGGAACAATTGCAAAAGTCATGTCAGAGAAAGCCAAACTGCCTGGTAAACATACTTACCACAGTGGGAGGAAAACAACTGTTACAGAGCAACTAAGAAATGAAGTACCACCAATTCATGTTGCCAAGTTGGTTGGACATAAAAATCTACTGTCACTAAACTCTTATAACACCATGTCTATAGAGCAACAGATAACAATGTCTGATAACGCACACGCATTAAACAAAGTAACTGCATCAACATCTACCATTGCCAGAATGGAGGAGCAAGAAATGGCTGATACCGAGTTGGACACCGAGTTGTTAGCCGCATCTCAAGAAATCGAAGGAGCATTAAACAACATTGAACAATTTGAGAAAAGTTGTGAAAATAGTAGTGGCGCACAGGTTCTAGATCTCCCTATAGTTCATCATCCAGATGGAACATTAAGCACATGTATTCGGGATAAAGAAACATCTGGCAGAAAATTTGATCCAAGTCGAATGTTTGTAAATTGTACATTCAATGCTTCAGTACAATTTGTGCTTAAATAGAGACTGAAATTGGACATATTACATAGAAATCGAAAGAAGAAACTATATCTTTCTTTATTTTTATTTTCTGTGATTGCGCATGAAAGAGACGCTTACTTTGAATCAGTTATTTATTTATTTCACTATTATATTGTTTAATACATGAACTGTGGATTAACTATATATTTTATCTGCTTAAACATACATTGAAATATCTATTTTCAAGCAATTAATAAATATATTATAACAATTACTTTATTGCTTGATTTTATTCCAGTCTGAAAAAATGCTGCGGAACATATGCAATAAACAGGTAATTACATTTGGCAAGTGTGCCTTTAGCCCATATTGGCACACTTGGTTCGAATTTGCCCGAGGGCTTTAAATAAGTCACCAAGTGTGCCAATATGGACTAAAGGCACACTTGCCCCATGTAATAACCTCGACATATAATATATATATATATATATATATATATATATATATATATATATATATATATATATATATATATATATATATATATATATATATATATATATATACAGTTTATTTTAGTGACTTGCCAGGAAAAATTACTTAGGAGAAGTTGGCAGACTATTTCAAAACAAATAAGGTTGGAGAGTTATTAAATGATATTGGCAGTGTTTAAGTGACATTTCTATACGTCACAATTTAAATGAAAATAAAGGGACTTAATAAAAAAAATGGTCACGAACACTTAGTGCAGTAGCTGCCATATTGCAAGCCATGTAACTACAACATCACTTAATGTTCATTTATTTCCTCCATTGCAGTGCTCTCCGAGATAATCTCGAAAAGAAGTATCCAGTTGACGCAGAGATAGAGGTTCGTTATAGCAAGTACCAATTATTTGTTTTAATAATATTTACCTTCCTTGCCAAAAGTGGAAAAGATGTTTAATGACAATATTCAATATTATAGTAATACTATGGAAAAAATCGATATAAACAGCTGAGTAAGTGAATTTATGAATATTAAATAATATATTATTATAGCAACAATGTAAAAGATTTTATCAGTTTTTTATAATGATGGTAGAATTATAAGTTACTTTTATCTTATGTAAATGATATATTAGAAATTATCCTCAAAATGGCGGTCAGGGGAGGTTATAATGGCTATGTGAAAAGCATCATATTTCTATGTCTTATCTTATTATAATTGATAAAATAAACAGCATCTAGAGTCAATAATTGGCCGTTAGCTGCATATATTGTCATTTATTATATACCCTATAAATAGTTTTAAAATGCCTTTCCCTGATTGGCTTACAAGCATCTTTTGTAAAAATAGCAGGTCAATATCAGAGTAAATTCATTTTTTCCCCCTAAAATAGATTTTCAGAGTATATTCACCGGGTTTTGTTTTATTTTTTCTAGAAAAAAAACAACAAAAACTGGAAAGCCCATAAAAGACGCGTGCTATGACGTGACGTCATGCCAAGTTTGTTGTTATTATTTTAGAAAAAACGTTGGGCAACTTGCAAATAAAAGTCAAATTAGTCGTTTTTAGGTACAGTCTCTATTTTTAAAAAACATTAAGAAATTAGCGTGCCAATGTACATATCACATCATATTCACTAGCTAAACTGTCCATATTTGTATAATAGTTAACTAGACATGTATAATGACACAGAATAAAACGATAATGCAACATCAAGGTCTTGATATTAACTTGCGTTCAGTGCAATCAATGAAGACACCCCCTCCAAACACACACCCAAACAATTTTTAAAGGTGCTATAGAGCCAAACCCCCTATGGAATATACATTGCCCCATTTTTATTTATTATGCCCCATCTGGTTAACATTTCTTGGTGTGCACTTAAGAATGAAATCCGTATGAAACTAGAATTGCAGTACATGTAAGTAGATTTTTATGACGTTGCTGTTTTCTCGACTTTGTAGCTGTATGATGGAAGTGTGATGGCCAATGTAAATCTCGGACTGTGTGCTGATGATTGTGCCGCCACTGCACAGACAACTGACCTGTTTTCAATCTCAACGGCTGTTGTATCCGAGGTAAAACATACAAACAAAATAAAGAGCCGCGTCATGACAAAACCAACATAATGGGTTTGCGACCAGCATGGATCCAGACCAGCCTGCGCTTCCGCGCAGTCTGATCAGGATCCATGCTGTTCGTTATCAGTTTCTCTACTAGTTATTGGGTTTGTAAGCGAACAGCATGGATCCTGATCAGACTGCGCGGATGCAGTTCACAATATTTTACTTTTAAATACATTTTTTGTTAAATCCTGGAAATTTGCATCAATCTAGAGGCGTACTGCTTTAAACTAACATTTATTAAATATTGAATCTTTGTTTAAGTTTTCATCATTGAGATAAACTTCTGATCCTTAGTAAATATACAAAATTTTATTACATGACAGATGCATTCTGGGCTGTTAACATTCTATCATTCACATCATTTTGTATATGTGAGATTATTTGTTAAATGGTATACCTATTCTTAACAATAATGAAAAATGGTTGCGCTATTTTTATTTTATGAGCAAATGTTAGAACAGACCTGAACTTTTTCTTGTTTATGTTGATTTAGGATATACTATGCTCATCTTTCAGTGAAATATTTTAATCACGAAAATTGGTTATAATTTGTAAAATTCTTACTGAATCTGTCTAATTGGAATAAAACAACGAATAAAACAATATATATGAAGCCACTTTCCCCTATAACGGGTCAAACTCACTGCCAGATTTTTAATGACTATATTCATATTCATATTGCGACCACTTGAAGTGTGTAGGGTTTTAAACATAACATATCCACTTCATGTGAAGTCAAAACATGTTTATTTTATATTTGGTTTAAACATTTTGTATTCCCAAAAGTATATATAATGTACATACAAATAAACAACAAGCAAAATATTATGAGAATGAAAGACAAGTCTTATGGCATTCTTCTCCTTTGACGAACTGTATGGTTTGTCTTAAATAAGTTGATTTTCATATTTAGAAAGTGATTGTATAGCAATTATCAATATTTTCTTACATCAAATTTGAGCATAGTATAACTTTAATCTTAATTGTAAATATGATGCATGCATAAACTATTGATGGACAGGATGCTATTTCTTTATTCGTTTAAAGTTACTTTTCGCATCTTTAGATCAATGAAGGTAGCATTCTGTTTGAGGTAAATGGAGAAACAATTATACCCTCTGGTGCTGCTATCCAAGATATACAAACGGCAGAGATGCTGCAAAATCTTGAGAAGGAGATGACAAAAACACTTGAAGTAACGGAGAAAGAGATGATGGTCACGATCATAACAGTTACAGCTGTGGTAGTTGTCGTCTTGTTTGTACTAGGCCTTGCTGTTGCATGCTATGTAAGTATGTTTGTACTAGGCCTTGTTGTTGCTTGTTATGTAAGTATGTTTGTACTAGGCCTTGCTGTTGCGTGCTATGTAAGTATGTTTGAACTAGGCCTTGCTGTTGCCTGTTATGTAAGTATGTTTGTACTAGGCCTTGCTGTTGCGTGTTATGTAAGTATGTTTGTACTAGGCCTTGCTGTTGCGTGTTATGTAAGTATGTTTGTACTAGGCCTTGCTGTTGCCTGTTATGTAAGTATGTTTGTACTAGGTCTTGCTGTTGCGTGTTATGTAAGTATGTTTTTACTAGGCCTTGATGTTGCTTGTTATGTAAGTATGTTTGTCAACGTAAACTTGGGTTAGGTAATTACCCAAAGTACGGCGCTCTAACACAATTTAGGTCATATGGCGCCGAAACAGGAAAGATTATTTTAGCTGACCTCGGGTGTTTCAAACTGAAAGCAACAGCAGGGATCAAAACCACCTCACCTGCCGGAGCTAAGAGATGCATAGACTCCAGTAATTCAAACCCATTTTCGCCTGATTGAATTCTATACATGCTATGAGACAAAGTAAAATTAAATTGCGCGAATATACATTAATAGATTTAGATATACTGTTTTGATAATGTTAAGTCAATTGTAATGTATTTGAGTGATATCTGTTTTAGTCCTGTTTCTATTTTTTTATGGTAAGATTTGCAAAAGAAGAAAAAAATTGTTTAACTGGAACCATACAGATTATATTTTGTATAGTTGTGCATATCTTTTTATGATTAGGTAAGCTTGTAACTTCATTCCATGACATCATTGTTGTTTGTAAGTTCAAGTCCGTGCAAGGGTTATGGACTTGAACGATATTGCCTTATATTATCTCTCATGAATAGACTCAATAAAAAGCTGGAAAAAGTGTGATCCCTCGGAAGGATTACTCACAACAAAATTACATGGAAATTGAAGACTCGGTTTCATTGAGTCTGTATATGAGTAATAGTGAAAAAGTGCGACACCCCCATATTTTTAAAGGATTGATAATTCCGAGCTAATACAACTTTTCCTTTTAAAAAAAGGGGGCCAAAAAGGGTTTTTATAAAAAAAGAGAAAAAACGGGATTTATTTTAGAAACACAAAAAAAATATAAGAGAGAAATTAATTTGCCCATAAAAAATCTATGTTTTTTAAAGTTTTCCAGTCCCAAGAAAACAAAAATGTATTGGGGGAAAAGGAGGAATTTTATGACGACTTCAAGGTAAAATTAAATGTTTTATTTAAACCCCCTTTCAAAAAAATTTGGGGCCGCGTCACGAAAAAACCCCAACATAGTCCCATTTGGACGCAAATGGACCCCAGACCAGCCTGGGCGGATGCGCAGCCCTGTTTCGGGGATCCATGCGGGTTCGCTATGATTTTTCGCTATTTTATAATGGGGGGTTGGTAAGCAAAACAGCAGGGGACCCCTGATCAGACTGCGGGGATGCGCGGGCGGGTTTCGGGGACCATGCGGTCGCAAAGGCTTTAAATTTGGGTTTTTGTCATGGCAGGGCTCAATTTCAAAAATTTTTTATAAAATAGTGGGGTTAAAGCTTTTTTGGAAAAAGGGGTCGGCGAAAACTGTTTTAAAAGAGGAGGGTTTTCGTTTAGGGTGTTTTTTTGGGCTGATAGAAAAACAAAACCCTTGGAAGTTTATTTAACCATTCGTCTGTTTCCCGGGAAACTTACTAGAATTTAAATGGTGGCTGATTTGGGGCCAGGGAAATTTTTGCCCGTAGGGAAAAAACGGCAGACACACATCTAAAATTTTGTCGAAACTACCGCTCTGTGGGGCGCAAGCCCGAAAATGAAATAATATTGAACTCCTAAAGGAAACTTTGGCAGAAATATTAGACTTTTAAAATTTAAAACCTAAAAAAGGGAAAGGAAACCCCATAAAAAACTGTTTTTAAGTGGTGACTTTGTCGTATTTTCGTGTTTTCGCACTGAGCTCCCGCAGAACAAAAATACGAGATGTAAAAAATCAGCCACAATAAGTACTAGTGTCGTACGGGAAAATAAGGTCATGACCTCAGTAGACCCTCTATTATACTACTGGTAATATCTTTCAAAATTGTAAGTTTAAAAAAATCATGACATGTTTTTTTTTTTTGTTTTTTTGTTTTTTTTTTTTTTTTTTTTTTTTTTTTAAATTAAACATGTTTTCAAATTTCAAAACACGTTAATTTATTGTTTGAAATACTGCATGACGTGATGTATATAATACTTTGATTTGATTCTAGGGAAAAGATAATCCGTCATACATATATCATCTAGAAGGTGGACGTTAAAGAGAGGTGGAGTTAAGTAAAAGAACACCTAGAGGATGAACTCTGAACCCAAAATGCTGATGACGTTTTAAAACCGACATAAAATGAATTTTTATCACTTTTGGAAAATATACTCAAGAATATTTGACCTTCCTATGTTTGATTTGAAATCCGAACTTTCGTTTTTGTCTTTTACGGCATTAAGCCAGTATGATTCTATTTCTCTATACAATATATAAGCACATATCAATATTATATAAGAAAGTTAAAACAATATCACAATAAATTGTGTTTCAAGATGTATGTAAAACATTATTTACCGGCGGATTTTTAAAGTGTTCCTGTTTTCACAATGTTTGTTGTTTTGTACTGCGACATGGAAGTAACATTGTTTATTTTATGATACTAACGTCCTAATCACATTTTCTAAAGTCGCATAATTAGTCTAAATCTAAATTATATACGTTCTCAAAATAAAATAAAATCTAAGAAAAAATTTTGGAAAAAAAAGGGGAAATAAAGTTTTTTTTTAAAAATTTTTTCTAAAACAAAAACTTTATTTTTTTTAAATATTGAATTTTGTAATAAAATTCAAGAATTATTTTTTTTTGGTTTTTTTTTTATTTTAAAAATGAACCCAAAATCGTGTATATTTTTAAATTTTTATTAATTTTTAAAAGTGAAATAGGGGAAATGGGAATGACTGAAAAGGGGCCAATACTAATTAATTGCAGAGTTGAATGTTTTTAAATAATTAAACCCCTTTTGGCGAGAAATAATTTTTTTAAATTAACAGTGAAAAAAACAAAATGAACACACGAATTTAATTTATTTCATACATAGAAATAGAAAAACCGTTTTAAGTAATAAAAGACTTTTTTCATTGGGGGCCCCTAAGCAACTTTAAACGCGACTTTACACTATTTGAAAACCAATAGTCAACAAAAAAACAGGGCCCGGTAACAATTTTTACAACCAAAAAATCGGACGGTTTTAAAAAAAAATTTCTTTTTTTGGTAGAACGTTTTAAAAATCAGTTTTATTTGTTTAAAAATTTATAGAAAAATTTGGTATTTAACAAATGCAAAACGATATTTCAGCAAGACGTTTTAAGCAAAAAGAAAGAAAAAATTTTATTTAACCAAGGGTTTTTAAAAAGAGGATAATTAAAATGAGAAAATTTTAAAAACTAAAATTTTAAAACGGTTAATAAAACCCAAATTATGCGCCCCTTGGCGAGCATAATTTTTTTTAATTAAAACGGTTCAAAAAAATTTTGTTTTAAAATTACAAAAATAAAATTTTTTATAAATATAAAAAAAAACCGGGAAAAACTGTTAAAAGTGCCAATTTTTATTTGACGGTAACGCAAAATTTAAAGGGGGTTTTAACGCTATTTTAAAAGTGAAATATAGTAAATTTTAAACAAAGGAAATATGCTAGCGAATATGCTTTTTTAAAAGGTTTTTTACCCTGCCCCGGGTTTTATGTAAAAAATGATAAAATTAAAAAATTCATTTTGTTAGAATAATTTGTAAAAATAAAAATGGTTTAATTTTTTTAACAAAATTTCAAATTTCCAAAAAAGGTCTTTTAAAAAGAATAAAAGAAAAATTTAAATTTAATGTTCTTTAAAAGGGAAGGGGGAAACCCCCCGCGTTAAAGGGTTCTTTAAAAAAGGAAGTTATGTAGAAAAAAATTAAAAAAATCGAAATTGAAGATTAAAACAACTCGAACAGAAAATTATTTGCAAAAAATTGGTGCCCAATTTTTATTTTTGCTATAACGGGCTTTTGTGATTTTTTCCCAAAAGGAAATTTTTTGGGCAGGGGGGTTCCAAAAATCGCGTCTTTTAACAATGGGGTGGGATGACGTCAACCGTTAATAATTGAAATTCAAACCATTTGGAAGGGGGGAATTTTTCATTGAAAAAGATAAAAAAATTTTAAAAATAAAGGGAAATAGGGTAAAATTTTAAAAAAAATTCTGAATTTTTTTGGTTGGAGGGAAAACCCCGGCCCCCGGGGGGCCCCCTGGGACAAATTTTTCCCGACCCGGAAAAAAATAAAAATTTTTTAAAAAAAAAAAATTTAAATTTTTTTAAATTTTTAAAAGAAAGACTTGAAAAATTGAAGATTTGGGGGTTTTTTAAAATTTTCCCTTACCCTTTTGAATAAAAAGATTTACTATTAAGTCTATATAGAAATAAAGGTTTGGTGCCGTGGAGGGGAAAATTTTAATCGGCGAGGCGGAGGAATTTATTGGGTGAGCCGAAGGCGAACCCAATAAATATCCGTAAGGAGCAGAGCAGATAAACTTTCTCCATCCACGGCACCAATCTATTATTCTATTTATCCTGTCACACGTTTTTTAAAGACATTTTTTATTAGGTCAAAATACCTTTAATCACACTATCGGAATGTTTCTATATAAACAAAGGTCTGAAAGCGTTCATTATTCTACAACATTGCACTCGCCGTTCTTATTATCCTCCTGTGTATTTTTCACATTGAGAGGCGCCATTTTGGGTTTGAAAAAATGTGATAAATAAAAACAAAATTTTTTGTCGAACTTTGTTGTGAAAATATCTAGAATGTAAGAAAATGGTCTAACTAAAAAAATGAATTCGAACACCAAATATCTTTTATTTCAGTCGTTAACGCTGTACAGACGTTTAAAGTATTGTTTACGTGACGTCAAACAGCACGTGCAAAACAATCAAATCAAGTACGCTATTTTAATGTCTCAAACGAGTTAAGTTTTACATTTCTTTCACTTTTTATAATTTTTATTTCGCTTGAAAAATTATAGAGTGAAATAAAATAAAAAAATAAAGTTTTAAAAATTCGTTATTCTACACACAGAAGATTTAACAACAGTTTTTATATTTTTTTCTTGAAAAGTAGTCCGGCAAACATGCATACCACGTGATCAAGTGCCGTAGATCAGTAAAAATATACGGCACCTTGTTATTGGGCCGAAATTGATACAAGTGACAGGATAAATATCGCACCATTACCGCTAAATGTCGCAATCGCCGTCAAACGTCACACAGTCTTTTTACGTTAAATGTGGCAATGCTAACGCTTTAGTGTCGCGCGATTTTCTCTTGCTGTTTAATCTCGCATCACTGCCACTTATGTCCAAGGATGAAAATCCATGCGTCAGCCTGAGAAGAAACGGCAACTTGCCGTAACCTTGCTAGATAGCTTCCTCTTCTTATGAAAGAATTCCAGTCACTGGCGGGATTCGAACCCACAGCGGAGGAGGACATGCGGGTTGAAGTCAAGGACCTTAATCATTCGGCCACGGACGTCTTTCACGGTCAACTTAATGTAGCAAATTATATTATATTTCATTAAATAAATCAGTTAGTATTTGTTTGCAATTTAATGCAAAAGCGATTGATTAACGTATAAGTACAACTGCACTCGTGACATATCAACGCCATTACCATTTATTGTTATTGATTGTATTTCAAAGCCGGGGGAAGAATCCAAAACGAGACAGTGTAATAAACTTACAACTTTAATAAGACAAACCGTAGCCGCTTGATTATTAAAATAATAATGAATAAACAATGAAGTTCAGACTATTAAAGTGAATTAGTCCATAAAGGAAGGTCTATAATACAATAAATAGTTATATTGATATAGTATTTAGTATCAGATATAACTACACACCACGAAAGAATAAGATATGAATGTTGTAGTGTGAGATACATGATCCGATATAACATATATTCAGATATAGCAGATAATAAATTGTGAAATTATTATTTTTCATCAGATCTAAATATATAATGTTCATACCAAATCAATTACAGCTTCATCCACCTGTTTTTCGCGGTCCCGTTTTTTGCTTGTCCGGCTATAGACAACATGTAAAAGGAAATCAAATAAAAAACAATTAAAAATACATAAAATTCTTTACCTTTCACATTTTCAGTGTCAGTTCTAGTTAGGCGCCGCCATTTTCAATGTAACTCAATGATAATAGGTCAGGTATTCCGATAACGGACAATCGCAACTTTTCGGAATAATAATAATCATCGAGTGTTCCGAGTTAAAACGGTTCCAAGCGGTGCATGATACCCTTAAAACGGAAAAATAAACGATTTTTCAACTGACTTCCCCGTTCATATGCTTTGCCTAATTTCATATTATTTTATAAGATTGTCCACAATGTCCACATGATACATTTCTATTGTTTACATCAATATTTGGAGTAATTATGGAACAAATGTGTCCCCACTTTAAATGTAAATACAGTGAAACCTGTCTAATCCGAACTTGTCAGGACCAGAAGAAGTTCGGATTAGAAAGGTTTTCGGATTAGAACGGTGTTAACATTTTTAAATGTCGCACCTAACCCTTAGCTCTCTGGTGGCAACTGTTCCTTTCCACGAGACTATGCGGTTTGATCATGGTCAACTTTGTTTACTAATTGGTTAGTACAGGACTGATTTCAAAAAGAACTATAAATTGATGAATACTTTTGTAAAAACAAAAAAAAAACAAAAAACGAAAAAAAAAAAAAAAAAAACAAGAAAGTTAGATATGGAATGCCTGAATATGTAATCATATTTTTATATTAATAGTGAGAAACTGTAATTCCGTGAATTTGATGAATTGATCATGTTTTATGGGGGCAATACTGTTCAATATGATATCTCAAATCAAAAGTCAATTTCATAAATCATCCTTTTGAATTTGATCTACAGACAGATGATATTTTGGGGCTTTTTTAAATTGAAGCATAGGCTATTCACCATATGATAAAGCATTTACTGCTTTTTTATTCGGTAGTTCTTTTCCCTCCTAACATGATTTACACCTATTCTCACAAGATAGGCCCAAGTTTGAAATTTGAGTGTCTCTTGACAAAAGTTAAAACATATACAATTATACAGTTGAGTTTTGTTATTTTTTCAACATTACATGGTTCCTTCTTTTAAATCATATTCACAATAGATGTCAGAAACTGGTATTTAGGAAAAGAAATGAACAAATAATATCAAT